ATAGCTCCTATATACATTTGCTTCCGATTTTATGCAAATTGCCGCACAATTTTGTACAATGAACTGTAGTAAATCTCTGGCAAGTCTCATTGAAATCGGGTTAGTATAACCAAGAGGTTGGATATAAATGTTTCAGCAAGGTGGGTCCAATCGGCACAAGAGATATATATATATATATATGTATATATTTGCTTTAAATTTATTTACATAATTTTGTCCCATTTTATGAAGCAACCCTATATCTGACCAAATGAAAAATTTAGTGTAGGTGGCAGAATGACATGTTTATGGATCCATTTTAATGGTCCTTCAAAACTTCGACGTCTGTTAGCATTCATCTGTTGAATATGCCAAAGTGGTGAAGGGTATCATATAGTCGGCCCCGTCGGACTTTACTACATTCCTTACTGGTTTTTGTTATATTAGGTTGGGCAAAAAGAAATTCGGTGCTTCCATATGGCCAAACGCTAAATTCTGATTTTTACAGTCAACAACTAAACGATTTGAAGATACCAATTGACCAGAAACGGCCAGAATTGGCCAATAGGAGAGGTGTTGTGTTCAACCAGGACAACGCTAAGCCACACACATCAACAGTGACTCGCTAGAAACTCCGGTTGTGAAGTTTTAATGCCTCCGCCATACAGTCCTAACTTGCCACCAATGGATTTTCTTGGATTGCAAAATTTATTTAATGAAAATCGACTACTAGAGTTTTTTGCAAATAGAGTGCCGGACTTCTATGAGAGAGACATTATGATGTTACCTTTAAAATGATAACAAAACGGTGCATATCCAAATCGGACCTTCCGAAACATGTTAAATAAAGTCCTATAGTTCATATAAAAATAATGGATTTTTTTCCCCAACCTAATATATCGATAGATTTATTCCCAGATCCTGCTCTGTACCCCTTCGAAAAAAATTATCTTAAAATGTAATAGATCGATAGATTTATTCCCAGATCCTGCTCTGTACCCCTTCGAAAAAAATTATCTTATAGCAAAAACTATATAAAACTTAATTCCTGAGCACCAAAAAAAAACCTCTCCGCTTCATATCTTTAATTAACATTCAAAGCTTTATTGAAAAGGTATTTTTGTCCATTAAGCTTGTTTTGTTTTTTTTTTTTTTGTATTTGTTGTTGTTGTTTTCCTGGACAACTCATTCACAGGACCAAAATACACACACGGTAATGACAACACTACTGCTAATTTAAGCAGCAGAAAATAATACCAACGTTAGAGTGTGTGTGTGTGTGTTTCCTACCTATTGGTATAATTCAGGTGTCATACAAGTATTTGTGTCCACCATATGCTTGTTGTTTACCTATGGTGGAGAAGGTGAGGTGTTGTGAATGGAAGGCTAGCATATAATTTCGCTTCAGTTCATAAGAGTTAATGGGGTTGTCGTTCTTGTTGTTGTTACTAATTACCTGGAACTAAATACGGGGCTGGATTTGGAGCCGGTTGCCAATATGTTGGTGTTATCGATGGATACAATTGCTGTTGATGATTCTGCAGTGGTGGTGGTGGTGGCTGGCTTGTCGAATGTTGCTGTTGTTGGTGCTGACGATGCTGAGAATGATGGTGCTGTTGCTGATGAGAAGGAGGCGGATGCTGTTGATGATGGCCATTTGTGGTTACACCTTGCAGGCTTGAAGGTGAATTGGTTGTATTGGTTGATTTGTTTGTTGCTATTGTGGTTATCGAGGAGGTATGTTGTTGTTGTTGTTGTTGTTGTTGCTGATGTTCAATTGCTGTTGCCGAAGGCTGGCTGGCCAATGACGAAGATACAGCAGAGCTGGAATAAGAGCCTGTCGATGAGGCTGACGATGTGGCCATTATTGAATTTGTAGAATTTGAGGATAATGTTAATGTAGTGGACATGCTACTGTTGTTGTTGTTGCAACTGCTACTATTACCATTGCTGTAGACCATTGTGGATGTTAGGTTTTTATTGTTGTTGTTGATCAGACTTTCGTTAACATTTCCGTTTCCGTTATAGGCAATGGCTGCCGAACTAATGGTATTACCATTGATAAAGTTGTTTTTGTTGTTGCTGGAATTGATTATGCTAATATGATCAGTTGAATTGGTTGTATTGTTGTTGTTGATACTGCTACTATTGTTGTTGTTGTTACTGCTGCTGTGGTTACTGTAATTTGCATTATTTACTGCCAAACATTGTCCAGCCCCCACTGCCACTCCGACCGTAGCAACAGCAGCATTGCATTTACTTGATGCCATTGAATAATCCACTAAATTGTGATTTTTCATTGTATGTGTGAAAACAATTGTTGTTGTATGTGTTGTTGTATTTTTTGCAATTTCACTCTATATATTGTTTTTATAAATTTTAATTTAGTTTTTTTTTGTTGTTGTTTCACTCTTTGTAATTTATTTCCGCTTGTTTTAATTCTTCTATTTGTTTTTTTCTTTTTTTTTTTGATTGGAAAAAAATATTTCTAATTATAGTTCGTTTTTATTTTATTCAGTCCATAGCATTTGATTTAATCTAAATTGTAAAAAAAAATTATAACATTTTATTATGCCATGACATTAAATTTCCACCATTTTTAAAAACAAATTCCACATGAATTGTAGATTTCGATAATTATGCACATATATTTTGTTGTTGCCGTTGTTGATTTGAAAATTAGAGACAGTGTCAGTGTGTGTGAGTGTGTGTGCTTTTGCATTCTATTGACTGATTGACATTGAAAAGGGTGTACACTTTTTGGAATATATATTTTTTTTACTTTCGAGATTACTTTTAAAATCAGTGAGCGGAGCTGACCATACGATACCCTACACAACTACCACGAAACTATAACTTCCCTTTACGGAGTATTGTGTTGTGATTTTTGGCTTATAATTGCTGCTTATAGACCAACTCGAAAAAAAACACCAAAAAAAAAATCGGTCCAAAATTATTATCTGATCATCATCGAAAATTATTGGCGTCGTCCTTGACCATACCTGGAACCTCATGGAAAATTTCAAATCAAACAGCGCTATATTTCCGCCCTAAAGTGTGGTAATGGTTTTCTAAATAATATGTGAATACGAAAGCACCTGTAAATATTTAATTGTAAGTTCCACAACCGAGTACATACGATAATAAAATTGGTACCAATTCTCCTCTTGGACATACTATCAACTTCTCCGGTCCATGTCCTTTAGGGGCAAATGTATACGCCATAGTGTAGACATTTCGTAATTTTTCCCACAAAGGCTGGGTCCATTTGACCCGCTAAATATTGACCGATCTTTGTTAAAACTGACATGCTTATTCTTTGGTCCGATCCTCTTGTTCATGTAAAAATTCGCGATGATAATTGCGGCTTCTGGAGCGACCAGAAAAATCAGAAAAAAATAAAGTTTTTGGTCCATTTCATCCCCTAAATATTAACCGATCTTTACCAAAAGCAATAGGGGTCTTCATTGGGCAGGACCCATCCTACATGGAAAATTTCGTGAAGATTGGTCCATAACTGTAGCCTGTATCGTGTTTTGTAAATTATAATGGACAGACTGACGGACGGACACACATGTCTAGATCGACTCAGCTAGTCGAGATATGATGATCGGTATACTTAAAGGTGGGTTGAGGACCAATATTTCACGGTGTCACAAACTCTTGGGCCTGCACAAAGCTATAAGACCCTGACAACATAGTTGTGTAAACAGGACCTAATTTAGTAGGCTGTGCAAAATTTTATCTCAATCTGAAAAATATTGGAATTTTGGTGCACCATCTACATAAAATAGGACGAAACTATATATAGAAGCTATATCGAAATCTGAACCGATTTTCACGAAACTTAGAACACACCATTCTTCACTCAGTTCAGTACCCTATGCCAAATTTCATGCAAGTCGAAAGATATATAGGGACTTTGGTGCACTATTTACATAAAATCGGACGAAAATATATATGGGAGTTAAATTTAAATCTGAACCGATTTTCACGAAACTTAGCACACATCTTTCTGGATCTAACTTAGTACCATATGACAAACTTCGTGCAAATCGAAATATACATAGGGACTTTGGAACCCCATTTACCTTAAATCGGACGAAAATATATATGTGTGTTATATATAAATCTGAACCGATTTTCATGAAACTTAACACACCTCATTCTAGACCTAATTGAATACGCTATGACAAATTTCGTGCAAATCGAAAGATATATAGAGACTTTGGTACCCCATTTACCTTAAATCGGTCGAAAATATATATGGGAGCTATATCCAAATCTGAACCGATCTTCTCGAAACTTGACACACTTCATTCTAGACATAATTCCGTATATTATGCTAAATTTCGTGCAAATCGAAAGATATATAGGGACTTTGGTGTCCCATTTACCTTATATCGGACGAAAATATATATGGGAGCTATATCTAAATCTGAACCGATCTTCTCGAAACTTGACGCACATCCTTCTAGACATAATTCAGTATACTATGCAAAATTTCGTGCAAATCCGAAGGATATAAGGGACGCTGGTGCACCATTTACATTAAATCGGACGAAATTATATATGGGAGCTATATCTAAATCTGAACCGATTTTCAAGAAACTTAAGACACATCATTCTAGACCTAATTCAGTACGTTATGCCAAATTTCGTGCAAATCGAAAGATATATAGCTACTTTGGTGCACCATTTACATAAAATCGGACGAAACTATATATGAGAGTTATATCTAAATCTAAACCGATTTTTCCCAATTTCAATAGGGTCCGTCCTTGGGTCAAATAAGTGAACTATGCTAAATTTCTTCCAATTCGGATCATAACTGCGACCTTTGCTTTGTTTACATGGACAGACAGACAAATGGACGGACATGCATAAATCGATTCCATTCTCAAGAGGAACCATGTGTCTATCTCGTTTCCTTTTGCCCGTTACAAACATATGTACAAAGACATAATACCCTGTACCACAGTGTGGTAAAGTGTATAAAAATCCACGCCTGTGCATGGCCTCATAAAAAATATTTTTAAGAAATCCACGCCTGTGGATGGTCTCCTAAAAAGTATTGTTTTGAAAAATTCGAGCTTATGGGTGATCACTAAAAAATACAATTTTTATTATTTTTAAAAAATCACGCTATAGGTGATCTTTAAAAATATTTTTTCAGTTTTCCATTTTCTTTGAAGTATGTATTAATTTATCTGGCACCACTTTGAGTTACACCCTTTTTACATTTTGAACATTTTTCAAATGGTGTCAATTTTCATAATTAGAAAAAAATTCTATATCACACAAAAAAAGACACAACAATTATTTTTCACCTCGTGGTTTTTGTATTATTTATTTTTAGACATTTTGTTATTAATTTTTTGTTTAAAATATCAATTTTCACTTGTATACGAAAAAATATTCAGATACTAATATAAACAGATATTTTTTTGCTGTACTCGACATTTGAGACATTTACAAGTGACGTGGTTTGGGAGGGGTTAACAACACGTGTAAAGGATTATTTCGATAAAGATTGTTAAGGGTAGGGTATCCCCCAATTATTTTTAATGAAAAGAAATATCATCGGATTCTGACAAGGGACGACAATTTTTGAATCAATGGGTTTGTATTTTTATACCCTTCACCACACTGTGGTACAGGGTATTATGTCTTTGTGCATATGTTTGTAACAGGCAAAAGGAAACGAGATAGACACATGGTTCCTTTTGAGAATATGCATAGAATCACTTTCTAAGTTGATTTATGCATGTCTGTCCGTCTGTCTGTCTGTGCATGTTAAATTGTAAACAAAGTACAGGTCGCATTTATGATCCGAATTGGATGAAATTTGGCATAGGTCACTTATTCGGCCCAAGGGCGAACCCTATTGAAATTGGGAAAAATGGGTTCAGATTTAGATATAGCTCCCATATATATATTTAACCGATTTAATGTAAACAGTCCCTATATATCTTTCGATTTGCACGGAATTTGGTAAAGCCCAATCATTTAGGTCTATAATTATGTCTGCCAAGTTTCGTGAAAATCGGTCCAGATTTAGATATAGCTTCCATATATCGTTTCGTCCGATTTCATGTAAATTGGTGCACCAAAGTCCACATATATCTTGCGATTTGCACGAAATTTGGCATAACGTACTGGAATGAGCCTAGAGAGATGTCTGCCAAGTTTCGAGAAAATCGGTCCAGATTTCTATATAGCTCCCATATATAGTTTCGTCCGATTTCATGTAAATGGTGCACCAAAGTCGCTATATATCTTTCGATTTGCACGAAATTTGGCACAACGTACTGGAATGATCCTAGAGAGATGTCTGCCAAGTTTCGAGAAAATCGGTCCAGATTTAGATATAGCTCCCTTTTATTATAGATTGATTTTAAGTAATTGACGCACCAAGGAATCAATAGGCTGATAGGAACAAAACGTTCTGAAATTACTATAACCTAACCTGTGACATGTTTGTTTGAAATCGCTTAATATTTGGATAGAGCTTCCATATATATTTTCGCCAGATTTCAAGTAAATTGGGCATCAAACTCCTCATGTAGTCAGATTGACATCAAATTTTGCACAACTTACAAAATTGAGCATCGAATTACATAGTTGCGTTTTCTAGAAGTACAGACATAGCCCAACGGATGACCTATTTATATTAGTTTGAAGTCGATTTACATACTTTAAGGATAGATCTAGGTAGATTCACATTAAGATAAATATCACATATTTTATTTCATCCAATTTCATGTTAATAGTCCTGTTTAATATACCGATAGTGGTGAAGGGTATCATATAGTCGGCCCCGTCCGACTTTACTACTTTCCTTACTGGTTTTTATTTAATCGAAATACTCATTTCCGACCCTATAAAGTATATATATTCTTGATCAGCGTAAAATTCTAAGACGATTTATGCATGTCCGTCTGTCCGTCTGTCTGTCTGTTGTAATCACTCTAGCGTCTAAACGAATTGAGGTAGAGCCCCAAAATTTCGCATAGAGTCGTCTTTTGTCTGCAGGCAGGTCAAGTTCGAAGATGGGCTATATCGGTCCACGTTTAGGCATA